CGCAGTGCACCGGTGCTCCGAAAGAAGTGCGCTCAATGGTGCTGCGAGAACAAAAAGTATGAATTACACGAAAACATCGTTCGAGTTAAGCGGCTTATAAATACATTGAAAACGTTGCGGGTCAACCAAAGTTTTGAAATTTGTTTGACTTAACCAGAAGTATTAAATATCCGAGTTTGAATTATTGCGAGCCTACTGTATATACTAAAGGAGATCTGGCTCAATCCAATATGCTTAACATCACTGAATAGTTGTGCAATTTTAATTGGCTAGTTTTATTTCTCAAGCACTTGATATGTTCGGTATTCAAATTAATGCAAATTTTTACTTTGGTTCAATTTATGGGGGGTTTATTTTATATGTCATGTTTAGTGGGAGCTAGGCTAGTTGGTAAGCACGTTGCTCACTTACCTTAACCATGCATGTCATATACAATTTGTTGCGATTGTGTATTGATTTCAAATCCTCTTCTGCTCTTTATTTCAAGCTGCCCTTACATGCACCATGAAGATACCGAGGAGGTCTTCAATTGAATGACAACTTCAAGCACAAGCATGGAGGGGCATCTAAATGGCCAGCACAAGGACAACTATAATGTAAATTTTCTCCAAAGTTAAAGCAAGGCATGCCTTCTTCCAATAAAGGTATTGTGGCGAAACTTCTTAATTGGTTCGTTTGTTGAGCTGTCATCTATAGGAACAGCTGAGCTCTCACAAACAAAATCCTGGCAGTGAGAAGTACCGGTTGTGTGCTCTTTCTCTTTTGCAAAACATGAACTTTTTGGCTGAGGATGAAAGATTATTCAAGTCCATATCTACAATGACGGAGCTATGAACTCTCCATACCAATCTACCCCAAAAGCTTCATGTGACTTAGGCTTGCTTGAATATGGAAGCTTTTTGCACTAAATAATGAAACACTTGACATTTACGTCTTTTTGAACTGGACTCTCCGTAAAAACAAGGCATATAATTTTGTAGAATGGCGAAATTTCTGTAGCCCACATTACGGACAGCTATCCGTAGGAAATGTGAATGCTGTCCGCACTAAATACCGAAGGACTATACCTTTCCGAATTATATAAGGCCAAAGCTACGAGTCATCCGCACCAGTCCTGCACCTCTGATAAGTCAGGTGACACCCCTGGCAGATCTAGAGCTCTGCCAGGTGAGTCGCCTGATGTATCGGAGGTGCAGGTGGTACGGATGGCTCGAGGCTTTGGCCTTATATAATTCGGAAAGGTATAGTGCTTCGGTATTTAGTGCGGACAGCTTTCACATTTCCTACGGATAGCTGTCCGTAATGTGGGCTACAGACGTTCCGTCATTCTACGAAATTATATGCCTTGTTTTTACGGACGGTCCCGTTTCTAGATTACGGCAAACCATACCGGCAATATTGAACCGGCAACTTTTACCCGTAAAATGGAAAACGGATAACTGTCTGTAAAGTGAACTACGGACGTTTCGTCATTTTACGGAATTATATGCCTTGGTTTTACAGACAGTCCCGTTTCTAGATTACGGCAAACCATACCGGCAATATTGAACCGGCAACTTTTGCCCGTAAAATGGGGTGAAAATTTTTTACAGTGTGCGTTGAAGTGCTTTTCTTTGTGTTTTATTTCTGAGGCGCGTCCGCTTTGACCTCGAGCGGCCGCGCCGGCTTTCCTGACAAAGCATATTATATGTCGCGTCGCAGTCTATTTAGGAGCCGTTTTTCGCTGTTACAAGTATTTAGGTGCCGTTTTTCGCGGTTACGGGTTCTGGGTTCCATTTTTCCCGGTTACAGACGCCGCCGGTTCCGCTCCAAATCCATGGGGCAGTTATTGTTTTCATATTTAAAAAAAAAGACGTCGAAATTGAATGCGTTCTGGTTTTCTATCGGAGAGCATCTTTGCGCCACCGCTCCTGCTCCTAAAAATGGTTAAAACGCACATCCTATGAGGGAGGCGAGGCGGTGGCTTGCCCATCGGACACCGGGGAGCAGGACCAGTGGCTCGCAGATGCGCTACGATAAGAAAGCGAAACTTAAAAACGGCGTCTAAGTTGAGCGTTTTTTTTTCTTTTCGGAACGCCGTAAAATGCTCTCCCTGTCCAATGTCTTTCTAAAACGAGTGGATTTTATAGTCTCCAAAGATGCTTAGCAAGTTTTCCATTTGAACCATTTGTTTAATTTACTAATCAAAACAGTTACTTTGTGGGAAGTTTTAAGATGGCGTGCGCAATTAATTTGCGTACGCAAAAAAAAAAAAAAAAAATTGCACCGTTGTACTGCGCATGCGTCGAACGCTAGCTGCGTTTTGCGTCTTGCGTGCACTTTTTTTGGCGCACTCAATCTTTCCGGAAATTGCGGGCTTACGAAAATAAACTTTGGGTTCCTCCGAGGAGGATACGTGAGGCGCGGGAAGTTGGCTACAGTCAAGACGAGCAGGGTTAGAAAATGGCTACTTTCGGGACTGCGGATGCGGCCAGTTTTGCGGTCGTCGTGTGCGAGAAGTCGGCTGCATCCTTCCGAATGCAATTTTTAATACAGGCCGACTTTACACCCTTACGGGAGGTGCACGTCACAAACAGTTTGAAACACCCAGCGAGGTGGGCAAGGACTCTGTACTTGCTGCTTGCGACGCGCGAACATGTCTCGGCGAAGGCGCTGCACGAGAGCACCTTTGGCCAGGCGACGCAAGCGGACATGACCGGTGGACCTCTCTCGTCGCATTCTCATATTTAAACAAATCTAAAAAGTTACTCTCGATCAAAAACCTTTTTTTTTTATGTTACCGCTTTTTTTTGTTCGAAATAAAAATGTTGACTGTATTTCGGTGGCGTTGGAAGCCCGAGATGCTTGGGTTTCGTGTAGCGGCGGAGAGGCGCTATTCTGAAACTCTCTTCCATACACTCTAATAGGGGGTGTATAGGGGTATTCTCCTTGTCCCATATGGAACACCCCAAAACAACGATTTAGCGAATAGTCCACAGACGTCGAACCAACGATACCAACTTTCAGGAGCGGCTTGATAGTCGACCGATACAACTGATTAAAATAGCTAATGTACGCATTAAAGGCTACAGTAAGATAATCAAGATATTTTTATTTTTTTTTTGCTCTGCTGCCAAAATTTTTTTTTCTATTCTTTGATACGCACACCAGCTATTTAGTACGTTATATCCCACAGCTATCAAGCCGATCGTAAAAGTTGTCATCGCCAGCTTGACGTCAGTAGACTGAACGTTCAAATGTAGTTTCGATGTGTTACAAATGTACAACAAACGCTGAAATGTAGTTTTGATGTGTTACATATGGGACAAGGGGTGTACCCCTATACACCCTATTTCTAAGTGTGTAGGGTGCTCTAATGCAAGGCTAAATTTATCGTTAGCGTGCACTCAAACTGTGTACGTTATTCTAACACCAGCTAGAAAGCTTTAGTTATTGATGCAGCTAATTAGTATGTTTTTGCAATCCTTGACTGCGCCTGACGCAGCTGGTAGTACGTTCCCGGAAGGAGTTTCTTTTTTCTTTTTTTGTATTGAAAGCCTTCGCTGAAACACTGGGTATATATTTAAACTAAAATAATTACTGCTCTAGGCGAAGGAAGGGGGCGGAACTCACTCTTTAAATAACTTTTCTTTTTTCAATCCAGAACAGCTCGAAATCCTAAAATCTCAATTTCAAGCAAGAAGAAACCGAGTTCAAAGCCAAGCTCAAAACAAAAGGAGAAAAAAATAGGCAAGGCAAGGAGGGAGTAAATTTAATTAACTTAACAGTAACCGCTGACCAGGCCTGTTTTGTAGCTAAGTGCTAACTAGATATATTTTTATCTTTAAATTACACTTCAGAAAACATTACTCTTTAGCTGCTATAGTACGTCAGTCATTTATATTAGGTTGGCTTTAAGTCTACAGTGCTAAAGCAGGAGCAGACAGGGTTAATTTAATATTTTTTAATCTTTTTTCCTGACTACCCTATTCAATATCTGTATGCGCTGACATATCGACGCCAGTGACCCGAACACAAATTTGCCACATGTAACCTTTTCTTTTCTCTGACATTCCTACCCGTATATTGTCCGTAATGTAATGAATTGCAAATGACACGACCAGAATAAGTGAAAAAACTAACTAAAGTTCTAATGTGGGGGACTTTCATATATGTTTATTTTATATTGGAAGAAACGTTGGTCTTGAAAATCCCCCAAAACATAGTTATCTTATGCTCGTTTTTACCTCAAGAGCCGCTGTAAAAAAATGTCCCACTTCTCTCGGAGCATCACTAATTTCCCCCTTTAAGCAGAAAAGTAAGAGATATATATGTGCATTACAGATTAAATATATGCCATTTTATCAAGACGTAGATACTTCAAACGCCAAAATCATCGCTCCTTCCTCCGACAATCAAATCCTGTAAGGACTACTTCGCGTGGTATAGAAACAATGCAAATAATATCATTTTCCTTTTTAGGTGAAAACGAGTGTAGACATCATATGCTGCTTGAATAAATAGGCACCTTCAAAGTGACAACTACGGTATTTTCTTTTTTTTTTTTAAATCGTTGCTGTGTTGACTTTTTCATGAAAGGTCTGAGAGAAGGGGAGGAGACGAGAGCGGCGCGCGAACTTCAGAACACCAAGCTTTGATTCGTGGTATTAGCGGGTGGGTTTAAACCTCGCTGCCTTTATTTCCACTCCATTCGTCGAACCCATCCCATGAGAGAGCCGGAATCCGGACGCCGGTGTTTCGCGTTCTAGCGCGTTCGACAACCGCAGTGGAGACAACGGTTTCCTTTGTCTCCACTGCACTTGTCGAACTAGCTGGAATACGAAAGACAAACACCGAACGCCGGCGTTCCGCCTTCTAACGCGTTCGATGACTTCTGACGTCTCCACGCGCTCTCACCTCCTCCTCTCCCTCGGTCTCTGGGCGCATAGCATAGAAGTACTATAGTAGAAATAAATCACGATTAACAAGGTAAAAAGAAGAAACAAATAGCGATGTATTACATTCGCATGAATCAAAATATTTGTTGCCTTGCACCCTTCCGGATACTTCCGTTCGGGAGGCTTGTAGGGTTCTGAAAAGTACAAAAAAAAAAACATAAATGTTTGGTAGTTTGGTATGTAAATCGATTATTTACATAATTCGGTAACGACAGTACAGCATGAACCTGTTCCAACATGAGCATCGAATAAGTTCACTAGAACTGTAAGCCAAACGATCTAGTGTCGGCTCGGCATCAGCGGCTCAAGCAGGGAGGTTTTAACCATCTCAAAGAGCCACTGCGTCGGGGATCTTGTTTGCTTGCTATCCATTACAAGTCGAGGGCCGCATATGTACAAACATGGGATTGGTGCTAGTGTAATTAATGCAAAGGTGTAAGCAAGCTGCGCAAGAAAGAGGAAAATAATCCATGGAGAAGGGGAACAAGTCGACAGTCCTCTGTCCCCCTGTTTCCCCTTCACCGGGGATTATTTCCGTCATGCGATTGGTGATTCGTGTTTTAGCCGCTGAAAGGTTGTGGTTAAATTTTTCAGAGCTGTGGCATACTCTCCTGTACTGTACCACCATAACAATAAAACGTGGTGCTCGGCTTAAACATCCATAAGCAAAATATCAGAGAGCTCTGATATTTTGCTTATGCATCGAAACAACCTTGTTTCGATGCAAGACCCTTTCCGGATTTCCAATTCTGAAAATGTGATTTCTTTTCTTAAAGAAAAAGGGAACATCATCGTTTCTGGGTTTTCCATGGACGTTCAAGATATGTACTACTCCATCCCGCATGCACGTCTACTACAAGTTCTTCGGTCAAACATAGAAGATCAAGGCCTCACGTCATTCCAGAAAGCGGCAGGGATGGAAGTGGATACCTTCTTAGAACCTTTGGGCTATTACCTATCAGCCACGGTGGTGGCCTACCAAGATCGCCACTACGTGCAGAGAAGCGGCGTATGCATAGGATCCCAAGTGGCCCCACATCTGTGTGAAGTTTTTCTCGGAGCGTGCGGGCGTGCCATCCAAGAAAGCATTAAAGATCCAAGAATCGCGGCGATATTTAAGTATGTCGATGATTTCCTCATTTTATGCACTACAGAAGTTGACGATCATATCGACGGGTGCCTCAACAACATCCTGAGGAGTTTTCAGCACTCATGTATGGGGCTCACTTTCACGCATGAGCTTCCAGAGAGGAAAATCATCAAGTTTCTGGATTTGGTCTTGGAGTTGAGAGCAGAACATGTTTGCTGGAGATACCAAGCCCGTTCAGGCAAAGGGTTTCTCCCCTTTTCGTCGCAGCATTCAAAAACTGTTAACCAGGCGGTAGCTTTCACATCCCAGTTTTCTAGCCTGAAGAAATCTTGTGAGCATCAGCTCTCTTGAAGCTTTGAGGTGCAAATATCCAGACTCGAACACGCGGGCTACCCGCGACATGTAATTGCCTCCGTATACAAAAAAATTTGCCGCACCATCAAGACGACTTGCGGACGCAACGACCCTTCCACACAGCAAAGGAAGAAAAGTAGAACGTTTGTGGTTGTTCCATATATTCATGGGATTACGCATAGGTTAAAAAAGATGGCCAATCGACATGAGGTACAAGTGCTGTGTTTGGCGCCCAATAAGGCCTATTCGTTGTGCCGCAAGCTTAATCAGGGGCAAACCAGCAACAGCAAGGTTTGTGGCACCAATCACAGGACGGTTTATGCCCAGTGCGACAAGGAGGGTATATACCACATACCCCTGACATGCGGCCGCTGTTACATCGGCCAGACCGGGCGGTGTATAAATGACAGGACTCGGGAACATGCCAATAGCTTGAAGACCTTGACGGCAGCAGGTCACTTAGCCCTACATTGCCGCGACTGCAAGTGCAAGGCGAACCTGGACAAAGTTACCGTCATGGGGCACCATCGAAACCGGTTTGCACGCGAGGTTTTAGAAGCTTCAAACATACAAGAGAAAGGGGACATGTGTGCTAGTTCACCATCTGTGACCTTAACCAGAGAAGAGAGAACGTTCTTGCGAGGGGAAGCACCGCCCACAAGTAGACAGACGAGGAGGACGCCTTATTTTAAAAATAAGAAAAAGAGGAAGAAGTGAAGCAAGCTAGGTATGATTGATCCTAGCCTGTCGATGAAGATGAAGTGTTTCATTAAATTTCAGTTGGTAGTCCAGCGGTTGAATGCGTCTCTCTCGTCCTTCTTACATTTGTGTCCTTGGGTTGTTCAGCTGGTGTCTACTAAATAAGCTCTGATATTATATTAGCGCTTGGTGTGTTTTATTGGTAGGTTTTAGACCAGTTGCTTGGCCGTTGAATCTAATGTAGCATTAGAAATAGATGCTTCTGAATTAAGGTGGCAGTGTGGGGCATCTGTTTCATGCTGACAAAAGAAGGACCAGCGCGCAAAAAAACAGGGACAAACTAGAACAAGTACACACAGGAGAAGCGCTGACCCTTAACTGAACTTTAATAAAATACAAACCAGCAACACCGAACATATCACGGGATGGTCAATCAACCTGTATCGAAAAGGGCAACCTCATTCGGTGTAAATGCCGCAACGTCTGGCTGACGCATTTCGTACTCCTATATATTAATAGCATAGGGTTCTAAATCTACCCGAGCCATTGGGTCTCTGCCCTTGCCAATAACTGTAGTTAACACATCTGCCCGTCTGGCCAATCTAAGTCTTTTTATACGTAAGCGGAATATTGCAAACAACTCCCACCTTGTAGTCAATATATTGATTTTACCGCTTTACCGAGCAAGTGGGCCATTACCTTTCTTATTCGCAACTCCACGGCAAAGTTGTGCCAACTTGCTGGGGGCAGAAAACAATTAGGGCAAATCGTACCGCAGCGCAACGTTTTTCCAGTTGTGTAAAATTTCGTGCGGGTACGGAATGAAAAGCGGTCGTCTGCTCGGCCTTTCTCTCTGGGGGCGAGGTTTTTCCTTCAGTTTCCTTAACAAGGCCTCCGCAACGCTTAATAAGACCGATATTGGGAAACTCGCAGCGGCCAGCCCGTTTTTCCTGCCGGCCAAAACTACGTTAACCACATGGTGATACGACCTCTCGAGGGCGGCCTCCAGGCGAAAATAAGCTGGACGTCCTTTTACTCCTTTGGAGTGAGGCGAATAAAATGAGACGAGATCCCTTTTCGAACGTCCGAATTAAGACCAGCAGGCGTGTCTATACGTGAATTTCAATTTCAGATCCAAAAATAGTGGAAACCTCCCCTCCGTACCCTCCCCTGCTCCTCCTCAAGAGCTGCGCTTCTATTTCGAATTACAGAAATTTGGAAACGTATTATATATATTACACAGGATTCGTCCGTATATATGTTTTTGACGCTGAAATACAGGCAATGGTAGATAAAGTGAATTGCTTAAGCACTAGTAATTGGGTATTTGATTCCTTTTTGATACCTTTGATGTCCAGTTTCACAACGGGGAAATGGAGTCTTCATGGAAGATCAAACGTTGGATCGTTGGAAGATCACACAAGCCTATATCATCAGGGGTGTATTGCTTCATTTCTGACAATGCCTTTGAATACTCTATGGTCATTTAATTGTAAGCTCAGCAATTGTAAGATCAGACTGTGATTGGTACTATGTCTTAAATGAACTCGCAATGTTTCTTGCGCTATTAGAACCTCTACAGGTGCGGCGCGTGCCTCGGTAACTGTTCCCTGAGTCGAGGGACAAGTGGCAGGCCCAAACTGACAGAGAGGTTTCGTGCTTGAACTTCTCTGAGACATTTGATGTTGGTTTGGCACGTCTCATATAGAATGGGAGCGCTATATCGAAATAAGTAGACAAGTAACGCCATATATATTTCTAATAGGGATTTTACTGTCGCGCCCCACGTGGTTTCACTGAAGAAGCGACGAGAACACTGACACTTCCGAGCTTTTTGCGCAAGTACAAAATATGAGGTGATCAGGTCAGAATCTTGTGGATGGTGATTCTAAGAAATGTGTGGCATTTAATGTATGGTATCGCTTGTTTACCTGTCGTAAGTGGATATTTGTTAATTTTTAGAATAAAAAACGCAATACCTGATGATCTGTAACTTGAATTTTGGGGCCACGAGTATGAAGATAATTTGTCATTTTCTTTAGTGCAGACTGATCCCTTGTCTGTACTTGATGTCGTATAGATTCAGAGACCTATATACAAATATAGGCGCAGAAAGGTGCCTGGATGGTTGGGGCAGTACTTTGGTGAGACAGGTGAGAGCGATAATAAATTATATAGGACTGAGCACGCCCCCCTGAGTTACTCCACAGGTCACCGGGTAAGAAAGCGTGTTTCCCTCTTTTTTAGACATAAACATGTATCTTCTTGTGAGGTAGCCTATTATCCACCTGTATAACTGTCCCCTGATGGCAATTTCGTGGAGAGCGTGAAATATTTTTTCATGAGTGACCTTATCAAATGATTCTTTGATAAGAAGCTATTGAAATTTTACGATGTGCTTGCTCTTGTTGCACGTAAGTTACGAGATGAATGACCCCATCAGTTGAGCTCCTTTCGTGACAGAAGCCTTGCATGATTTCTGGATATTGCGCTTGCTCTTAAAAATACCTATCTAGACGGCAGAAAGTTATTTTTTCCATGATTTTTCCTACGTAACTCGCGAGCTTGACCAGATGGTACGACGTTAATTGAAGTGGCGATTTGAGAGGTTTGAAAAGAGGCACAATCCCTGCCATTTTACACGAATCTTGGACATACTTTTTGATTAATATTCAAAAGAAGGTTTCGGCGCGTCCTTCCCTATATGTATCAAATAACTTTACTACATGCCGTCAGGTCCCGGTGAGGTGTGATGCTTCACAGACAGTGCAGCATCCAGTGCGCTCACTGTGAAAATATCATCCATAACTTTCTCACAAAATACTGACTGGACTGTGGTGCGAGATAAAGATTGGCTCGAAATAGTTGTGTATGTTGTCAACAAAATAGATTACTTGTTTGCCACTTTTTTTTTTCGTAACAATTTGTTGACAACGCCAGCTAGCTATATGGATCGAACTGCGCAGGAGAAGATTTAACACCTGGTGAGAT